GTTTCATTAATCTAAAGGCTAAAAGTTAATAATTTAAGAGCATGTTTAGTGCAGAATGTGAGAAAAGCTTTTTGGCTCTAAAAGCACAAACTGCACCAAACGGATTAGCTTTTCAAATGGGCTAGCTTCTCAAACGTGCTGCAATTTCCCAGAAGCACATCTTCTCCTCATTCCTTTGCAAATCCCGAAAGCATCAATTTCGTGCTTTCGTGCGAGCTTCTCGCTTTAAGATTAATGAAATTGACATGGTATTCTCATTTTATCCTCACGCTTCCTCTTATTTACAAAAAAAAAAAAAAAAAAACAGTATATAAGGGTTCCAATTTATAACGTTACCAAGCAACCCAGGCACATCTGTTTCTTCCCTGTCTTCTTAACTATCTTCTTCCTCATCCAATCAGAGAAACAAACCAAAAATCCTTACCAATTTATAACATCACCCACCATTACCAAGCTGCCTAGCCACATCTGTTTCTTCCCCCATCTTCTTAACTATCTTCTACCTCGTCTAATCAAAGAAACAAACAGAAAATCCTTACCGTATTCTTCCTCGTCTTCTTTCTCCTTAAATCGAAAACCACTCATCTTTAGTTTGGAGACGAACCCAAGAGCTGGGTTCGCGACGAACATTGCACTTGGGTTCAAGATGAACTCCGCGCCTAGGTTCAAGACAAACCCAGCGCCTGGGTTCGTCTCCTAGGTTCGCGACGAACCTAGGAGATGGGTTCCAAGATGAACCTCGGTGCTTGGGTTCATGCAAACCCAAAGGTAAAAAAAGAAAAAAAACAACTAGAGGAAGGTGAGAATAATGATCTTTAAAATATATATATCGATAATTATATAATTAAATGATTTTAAGGTTATATTAATAAAAAATTTAACCATGTTATTAACTTTTATCATATAGATATTTCATGTAATTTAAGTAAAGAAAAAATATAATTTTTTTCTTAATTAATGTGTCACATTAAAACTTAACGAGAAGTATTAAAAAGAAATTAAAATTTTTAAACTTTAAAAATTAAAAAAAAATTTCTAGTACAAGAATTAAAAAAGGGTTTTTTTTAAATAGTAGAGGACCAAAAAGAGTATTTAACTTAAAT